TCATCCATCGGTAGATCCATTTTCTTCTGCTTATCAGGGTCGGAGTGGAGCTGGAGCCTGTCCCAGCTGAAGGCAAGAGTCCGGGTACAAAAATAAAATCTATCAGCTAGAAAAAAATGCTTCTTTAGGTGTTGGTAATGACCAATAACTGGCTAAGCTAAAACAGTAAATATTGGACTCCAGTTGATCTGTTACTCAGAAATGTATCTCAAGCTGTTTTTTACTCATAATGGGTCTTTAGGGGGGTGATTACCTTTTTAAGCACAATCAATCTGCAAAGATTGTAGTAGCTGAATGATTGTAACCCGATTTGTGAAAATAAATTAAAACTAGGTACACTCCTGGTCATGCTTTGTCTCTTGGTACAAGCTCTTTGGGGAGGTCCAGATACTCCTCTATGCAGGAAAAAACAACAAATTAAAACGCCATGTTGCATTGTAAATGTTGGGTTTGTTAAAGAGCAGCTGTTTGCTGGCAACAAAAGGCAACAATTAAAGTAACAAATAAAAAAACCCCACTGTAAGTGTTGTTCATTAACCCTTAACTAGTCTGCTTCATTAGGACTGCGTGGGTTTGTGTTTGAATGGCAGAAACTCAAAATCTGTCAAACAGTTTTAGTTTAAGCATTGTTATGGTGCATGGAAGCGCAGCCTTTGTTGACTATAATGTTAGTGCTGAATGGGCTCTTATAACTCATTTTTTATGTTTTTGTTATAAATATTAATTTGATTTGGAGGATGGTGATGAATTATGAAATAACACAGCATATATTTACAACCAGATATTAATTATACTACAGCATGGTTACCCAGCTGTGGATTTCTGTGATGTTGCCGTAACACTTCCAAAAGGCTGACCACACAAACAGGCTGAACTTGAAAAACACTGGCCTGTGTCACTCTCAGTGGAAAAACACAGCCTGTTGGGAATGAAAACAAACACATTCCAGTATGATTCACCACCATACCTGGGGATAAAGGTCACATGCATGTGTCACGGGTCAGTTCACAATGAGCAGAGTGTTAATGTTTGTTGCTATCTGTAGAGCACTTGTTTCCAGCGCATTTATGCTTGTGTGCGGGATTGTGTGTGTGCGTTCAGGGAAGAGGGTCATTCAGGTTTCATGTCCTAGCTGGATTAGCTCATAGTAAGGGATATCAGAGGGATTTGGCTGCTCCATTGTCCTGTTAGTGGAATGTTCTGGCCCACTGTGTGTGAGTGTGGCCGCACGTGTGTGTGTTGCATACCTGCATATGATAATGTGTATTATGTACGTATCACATCAGTGCACATTCTTGCTGCCCTTTGTGTGTTCGTGTCACTTTTCTAGGAATGTGTGTGTTTCTCTTTTCTTTACGGTGCGACTCGTTTGGATGTCGGTGTTTTTGTGCGGATGGCCGTTTGCGTGTGTCTTTGTAAGCCTGCTGTTACCATAATCACCTGTAATGCTCTATCAACAAATGGCTTTTCACACAAAATCACTGGTGTTTTTTGTTTTGTTTTGTTTTCTTTGTTTTGTTATATTTTGCTGGGGTTTTATTGCCTTAAGGCATCATAAACCTGCAGAGTTTTTACACAGGTGCTCAACATTGGTAACTTGTTTTACACAAGTTTGTAAGTTGAGTTGAATTTGCATCTAATAAAATTTGCTATATAAATAAAATTCTCATTGTCTAAATGTCGATATTTAAAGCCTAAAATATGTTTTAATATAGCTAATAAATGGTTGATGGCAGAGATTGGTGTAGCCACACTAATGGAAATTGGATTTTTTTTTATGGATGTTTGTTTTTTACATTAGAGGATTTGATGTTAGGATTTGTTTGTAACTATTTCATAGTAGGTTTTGACAGATTGTCAGGTATTTCCATAATCTAAATATTTTTGTGTCTGGTGTTTGATCATCTAAGCTTTGTGGCATGGTGTGTTATCCTATTTGAAGCAGCCATCAGAAGATGGTGCACTGTGGGCATAAAGGGATGGACATGGTCAGCAACAATATTCAGGTAGGTTGTGGTATTTAAATCATGATCAGTTGGTACTAAGGGGCCCAAAGATATGCCAAGAAAATATCCCAACAGCCTGAAGTGGTAATTTAAGCCTGGGTGGATCCATGCTTTCGTGTTGTTTATGCTAAATTCTGATCCCCTATGTTTTAAAGTTGAGGGTTTTTTTGTTTTTGTTTTTGTTTCTGGTTTTGAAACAAAGATCATTTTCTCAATAAATCTAATTTTCTTTGTACAGTTTGTTTTTTTTAACACTTAATTACCGACCATAATTAACCATAATTAACCATAATTACTGACCTTAGATTATTTTAGACTAGAGTATTTCTCATAAATGGATGAAATGGTGCAGGTTTGATCATGTAAAATTATAGCTGTATAAACGTGGTTGTAAATGAATCTTTCAGTATAGTTGTTAAAATAGCTTTTGTTACTGGGGGGGGGTTGAAGACTGAAGGGTTTTTTTAGCTTTGGATGATGATCTGCTTCTTGACAGGTCATCGAGTGTACAGCATGCTTTAAAACTCCACCATTTTTGGCATTTTTCTTCGTCTGCAGGTCTGCTTGCATCCATCTGTTTGTAGATCTTGGGCTGTAAAAAGCCTTCTGTTTCTCCAGCGGGAGCTGCTCAGATTTTGATCATTTGCCTAAAGTGATGTCTCTTAAGTCAGTATTAGTTGGAGCTGATGGCTGCAAGTTTGAAAACATGGGAGATAAAAATTGTGTGTGGATTTAGAAAGAAGTGAATATATCAGTTCAGACTGCTCCTCATCTCTGCAGCTCTCACTTTGAGGCTCAAAGCTTTAGGTTGTGTTATTAGCCACTGCTAGCCTAACACATCTGCAGCTTCAACACAGCTGACACAGTTGACTTGTGAACTATGACGTCTCTGTGATTTTACAAGGAATAAAATAAACATGAAATAAACAAAAAATATAGTTTGGTTTGGCTGCATTAACCGTTGTCAGTACAACGCTGCTACACAAAGGGAATGTTACATTTATGATTTCTGTGGATACCAAGTAAAGGAAACCCCAGGCCAAGGTAGCTATGTCTGTTTTTTCCTCTGTCATTTGAATGATTATACTGAGGTAGCATTTTTCTAGTATGTAAAGAACCAGAAAAATAACCACCTGTAGCAGAAATAACTTGAATTCATCTTTTTCTCTGTGACTTGAATGGTCTCTCACATCATTCATCACCCTCCACCACCGCGCTGACAGCCAGTGGTGTTTGTGCTCATATGCTGAGCTTTTCTCCAAATGTGGTCTTTGCATCATTGTGTGTTCATGTCATTGTTCCAGACGTCTTGTGCTGTGTTCATTTTAGAGAGAAGCTTTTTGTAGCTACACCTAAACTGAACATCCACCCTTTCAAATTGGGACCTCACCAACACATTGTCAAAACCCATTTGAAAATTCATTTTTACTATTTGGCATTTAAACCTGTGTTTTGTAGTTGATGTTTTTTTTTTTTTTACTTGCTATTATGATGTTTTATCCTCAAACAAAAACAACTGAATTTATCCACAAGGAGCAAATACAATTCTTATTCAAATTAATCTTTTATCTGTACAGCACTTTGATCAACGTTTTTAAATGAGCCTATGAATAAATACATTTACTTCACATGACTCCTGGCAGCTGGCACCATACTTGTTTGTTTTTCTGTCATTAGATTTTTAACTTGGTGACTGAGGCCTGTAGAGTTTTGCATCTAGCTCTTGGGAGTTTTCAGTCTCTCTGAGCACTCCATGCTCTGACCTTGGGGTGAATTTGCTGGGATGTCCATTGTGTTAACACACACCTCCTGATCATCAGATCTTTGGTATTAAAAAAAATACTATATCTTCCAAGGAAACCAGAGCAAGTAATGTACTATTCTTAGAAAAATCATTATTAATTATTCCATTTAAATATTCATTTTTTAAATTCTTTTAGGTTATGTGCTGTCTATTATGGGTCGCAGACGGAACCTCCCCAATATCAACTCCCCAGACTGGGCCATCCGCATGCAAGCTGAGAGGCAAGCTGTCAACTTTGTGGTCCAGGGTAGGAAGACTGATTAGCACTCTTTGTGTATGCTTTTCTCAGCTTCTCTTTATATTTCACCTGTGAAGTCGGCTTTCAAACTGCTTCTCTGACCTGGAGGGTTTGCCTCTTGTTTATTGTGTATGTGTTTTTATTTGTATGTACAGGTTCTGCTGCGGATCTCTGTAAGATGGCCATGATCAGAATCTTTAACCTGGTCTCCTCCTCCAGCTCGCTGTCTGCCAGGTACCACCTCTAAACACGGCACTGCTCACCAAAGATGCACAGACTACCAAAATCTCCTCTCTCCTTTAACGAGACAAAATACGCAAATGCGTGTTGGCTCTCCATACCGCATGTCTTTCTAAATCTACACAATCAGAACTTGCTCATGTTCCATATTTATGCAGGAGATCTGACAGAGCTTGTCTTACCAAAACACGCAAACGACATGCTGTGGTTTACCAGCCAGCTACATTTGTAGAGATGAGGCATGATCCTGGATTAATGCTGGTAATGATGCCAAACAATCAGCTGGAGTAAACAAAGTTGGAGCAAAAGCCAATATATAACAAAATTACAGAGCAGTGTGCGAAGTAAACGGGGGAGTCTGCTGAAACAGTCAGATGCCACATTCTTTATTTTTAGTAGCTTTAATAGCCACAGTGGTGTTTACTCTGTGTGTGTGTGTGTGTGTGTGTGTGTGTGTGTGTGTGTGTGTGTGTGTGTAGGCTTATAGCTCAGCTCCATGATGAGCTTCTGTATGAAGTGGAGGACTCCCATGTGCAACAGTTTGCAGGTAAAATAATTCAGTATTAGGTAAAAAAAAATTCATTTCATCAGCCACTGACAATTAAAAAAAAGGTCCAGGTCAAGTTTTACTTAAATAAAGGTCAGTCCAATAGCTTCAGCACGCTTTTATTTCTTTAAACAAAACCGTTTATTAGTTTCACTTTATATGTTTCAGCCAATTGTCTGTGCCTCAGTTACAATGTCTCCGGGGCCGTCTCTCTGCACTAATGTATTGTGCACAGGAGCCATGTCACAGCGGGGACAGTATATAAAACACTGAAAATACCTGAAATGTGTAAAGTTGGTGTTTTAAACAGTGTAGTGTTTAGATCACTCTGAGATTTGAATAAAGATTTTTTTAAGTGACTTAAAATCTTGTTTCCTAAGCTTTAACATATAATTGTTATGCACTATTATTTTTTATTGTTCAAAAATAAATACAGATTTTGTTTGTGCAGCTCTGGTAAGAAGTAGCATGGAGTCGCTACAGCACATTGATCATCTGGGAGTCCATCTGAAAGTGAGTAAAAGAAGTGTAATTGAAATCAGATGGCGGCATGGTCTTGTCACATGTCATGTGGAGAGCAGGATTGATGGGAAACTGTAGATTTTCTTGCTAGTGGACTGTGGCTTAAAGCAGTCAGTAAGCAGGTTACTGCAAACAGACTGAACTAACTCACTGGGTCCTACTATTCTGAATCAAATCACTTTTTGAAAGCCCAAATAGAATAAACATGTTTCGCAATAAACAAGCTCAAATTTACAAAAATGTCAGATGCTTCAGAGGCCTTGAAAAAATATTTTAATGAACTTCTATCAGAAGGAACCTTGTACCAGACGACCCCTTCTGTTTTTAATTTGGCTGCTCTCTTCCTGCACTTCCTTGATACAACTGCATGTGAACGTACTGTTTGCAGTCTTTCAAGAATTTTTAAGCAAAATGATAACAGCACCTACTGCACTTGAACGGTAAATCGGTGTCCGACTTCTGGAAGTCAATCAGAGAAAGGCAAATGCAGGACTCATTCGTCATTTATATACTCATCACGCTACGCATGTAAACACTACATCTCTTCAGCTTTTTCCCTTTAGTGAAAAAGTCTGACGTGAATAAATTACTGATATATTGGAAGATAAAAATTCGGGCGTTCTTTTTAAACCTTATGAAGGTTTGAGATTTAGGACACGGGTTGCCATGTTTTGGTAAAAAGGAGCATATTGTTGTTTGCTGTTGTTTTGTGGTGTTTAGTGCATGTTAAAGAAAAATGTATTTTTTAAAAAAACAGCCAACGCCCTTCCTTTTCATCTGTGTGATTCCCAGGTGCCCCTGAAGGTGGCAGTCTCCAGTGGCAAGTCTTGGGGGTCCATGTCTGAGCTTGACGTCCCTCCAATGTTTCCCTCTCTTTGAGCGCGTCGCCTCCCTCCCTTCACCTCCTCGACGGCGACGCCTCTCTGTTGAATCTGCTTCTTCTCCCCTTCGATGAGCTCCTTTCTTCCCCTCATAGTCTCCTCTTCATCTGTACCCCTTCACTTGTTCTGCATCCTCATCACTATGGAAACCAACCAGCTGAAGCTCCCACTTACTTTTTCTCCATCCGTATCCGGGGGCAACGGCAGGAGCCTCAGACTGGATCGCACCAGTTTGGTGTTTTTTTTTCTTGCTCTCTCTCTCTCTCCATCCTCCAGAAAAAGATTCCTTGTCCTCTTCCTCTCCTCCTCCTCCTCTCCTCCTCCTCATCTCCTCCTCCGTTTTCTCACTATTTTCTTAGATGTTTTTCTGGTCGTTGCCAAGGTGAACACTTCATGTTCAAGAGAGGGCGTGATATTTATCGGTTCATAAAATTGTTTCATGTTTTTTTTTTAAAGAAAGAAGTAGTTAACCTCTTTATCTCTCAGTGGTGTTTTATAGAAAAGACTTCCTTGTATTTGTTGTTCTTTTGCCTTTTTTGTGTGTGTGTTTAATAAACCTCACATGTTCCTGTAATATTCCCGGTCCCACCGTTTATCTCCCATTTTCATGCATTTATTTCTGAAGCTAATTTGCATGCTACATTTTAGCAACCTCTTCGTGGATTCATGTTTATCGAGTCCTTTGAGGGATAAATCATACATCAAGCATTAATACAAAAATGAGCTGCATTTAAAACATTTTGCTGTTTTAATACAACAAAGCTTCGATGTGTTCAGAGACACTTGTGTGTAATAAACTTCACCTCGTGTTGGCTGCATTCGTGACTCAGAGCAGATGATCTAATTTTTCTCTGCTCTTCGCTCTCTGCAGCTCATCTTTTATCTGCTCACTTGGCTCCAGCCCACTCGCCCCTTTTGTCTTGTTTTTTTGCCTCTCTCTCTCACACACGCACACATTCCACAAATGCTCGTATGGACACGTACATGCACGCATGTCCACCGACACCCACACTTTCCATCCGTGCAGCCGAAATGAATGCGCTCGCGCACATTCAGCGGCTTCCAGGCACACTGACCGACTTTCTTTATCTGTGGCAGCCACAGCTAGACACTTTTTATAGTGTCCTGCAATTAAGACCCTTCGAGCCTGCAAAATGTGTCTGGCAGAACCATACGCCTTGTGACAAGATCAACAAAGCCTAACCCCCCCCCCC